AGGAAAGTACATCATGTTTGTACATGCGTGAAGAGGCAAGACTGTTGGCAGGAAAACAATTTATAAACACTTATAATAATCCAGGCAAAAGTTGATAAAGCATTAATTGTGGCAAAGGGAATGACAAAGGTGGTAAAATGTTTTGGGAGTCTTATTAATTGGTTAGACTTGTATTTGATCAATCTGAAATGAAAACTATGTGAAAAATGCTCCTTGTTTTTAATCCCTTTCCTTATTTTATTTTTTAAAATAAAATGAAAAACTTTTAAATGTATAAGTTAATGAATCTTACATATACATGCACCCATGTAATCACTACCAAAGTCAAGATATGGAACATTTCTATAATTTCAGAAAATTCTTTCATGTGACTTTTCAATCAATATCATCTACCAATATCATCTTTCAATCAATATCATCTACCAAAATGTTCACTTTATCACCATAGATTAGTTTTCCTATTTTTAAATAATTAAAAATAATTTTTGAATTTTTAATTAAAGCATAATAACCACATATTTATGGGGTACAGTGCAGTATTTCAATACATTTATACATTGTGCAATGATCAGATCAGGGTATTGGGATATCTATCAACTCATACATTGGTTGTTTCTTTGTGCTGGACCATTCAAAATCCTCTCTAGTAGGTATTTTGAAATATTCAATTAATTATTGTATAACAATGCTATTGTGTTACAGAACATTAGAAACTATTTTCCCTATCCAACTGCACCTCTGTACACACTGACCATCCTTTCTCCATCCTGCATCCACCAGACTCTTCTTAGGCTCTGGTAACTATCACTCTACTCTCTTCTCTAACACAGACTTTTTAGCTTCCACAAGTAAGTGAGAACACGTGATAGTCTTCTTTATGTGCCTGAGTTATTTTACTTGACGTAATGTCCTCCATGAGCTTCTTTTAAATGAAATTGTCCTGCAAGTTCTTTTATGTCTGACATTTTTTATTCAAAAATATGTATTTTACATTTAATGGAAAGATTTTTCAGGAAAGATGTAATATTTAACTGAAGATAATTAAAATGAGGTTTACATTAATAAGATAACATATCTAAGTACATATGTGCAATTAGTTACAATTTTTTGCATCTTTTAAATCTTGACAAATGACTAAAATGATAAACAAAACATAATCAGTACAGTTAAAAACACAGAGACTTGAAATTTTATTCTAGAAGATAGAGATGCTCATACAATTTAAGTATAAAAATGTTCTTTACAGTATTTATAAGGAATGGAGATAATCTGAAATGTTTGATCAAAGGAGAAATACTATATTTATTTGTGTGATGGAATACAGTGCATCTCTGAGAAATCAGACAATGCAAATTTTGTTATTCATAACATAGTATTTATCATCTTAACATTTTTAAGTATACAATTCTGCAACTTAAATACATTCATAATATTTTATAATTATCATCCTTATCTATACCCTCAAACTTTTCATCATCTTCAGCCTAACCTCTGCACTTGTTAAAAATGACTCCAAATTCCACCCTCCTTTCAGCTGTTGTTAAGATCTATTCTACTTTCTCTATGAATTTACCTGCTGTTGGCATTTCATCAAAGTGGAATCATATAATACTTGTCCTATTGTATCTGACATTTTTCTTAGTGCAATATTTCCAAGGTTCATACATGCTTGATGTATAATATATAGGAAACATCATTTCTTTCTACAACTGAGTAATAGTCCATTGTACATATATACCACATATTGTATCTGATGATGGACGTTGGGTTATTTCCAACATTTGTCTTATGAACCTGAATGCTTAAGTATCTGCTTGAGTACCTGCTTTCCATTTTTTGGATATATACCCAGGAGAAGAATTGTTGAGTCATATGGTAGCTCTATAAATAACTTTTTGAGGAACAACCAAACTCACCCACAGCAGCTACACTATTTTATGCTCCCATCAGCAACATACAAGATTTCAAATTTCTCCATGTTGACACCAACATTTGTTGTTTTGAGTTTTCTTAACTGCAGCCGTCTCAGGTAAAAAGTGGCATCTCCTTGTAGCTTTTATTTGCATTTTGTAATGAATAAAGATGTTGTATATCTTTTCAGATGCTTGTTTGTATATCTTCTTTGGAAAAATGCCCATTCAGTTCCTTTTCCCATGTTTGATTTTTCTAAATTACTGTTACTGAGTTGTAGCCATTCTTTATCTCTGTTTTGAATATTAACTATCACAGTTCTGATTTGTAAATATTTTTCCATTTGGCTGTCATTTGCTTTTTGTGTAACATCCTTTGATGATACTTTCTTTTTTTTTTTTTTTTTTTTTTTTTTTGTTTTT